AGGCCTGCCAGGAAGCAGGGGCACCACAGGTCTAGCAAGTATACACGACAGGCCTGTCAGGGGCACAACGGGCCTGTTGGGCCCATGAGCACCCCTAGGGGCAGGGGTCCTTCCAGGGGCACCGCAGGCCTGTGAGGGGCACCAGCGGCCTAGCAGGGGCACCAGTCAACACAGGCCTGCCAGGGGCACCACCGACCTCGCAGGGGTAACTTTGGCCTGTCAGGGCCCAGGGGCACCACGGGCCTGTCGAGAGGCACTTCAGGCTTTTCAGGGGCACCATAGTCCTCTCCGGGCGCAGGGGTAGCAGGGGCACCAGAGGCCTGCCAGGGGCACTACAGGCCTAGCAAGGGCACCACTGGTCTATCAGGGGCACCACGAGCCTGTCATAGCCAGGCATCTCAGGCTTGTCAAGGCCCAGAGGCACCACAGGTCTGTGAGGGGCACCAGCGACCTAGCAGGGGCACCAGTCAACACAGGTCTGCCGGGGGCGCCACAGACCTGCCAGGGGCACCACAGACCTGCCAGGGGCACCAGAGGTTTGCCAGGGGCACCACCGGCCTCGCAGGGGCACCTTGGGCCTGTCAGGGGCACCACGGGCCTGCCGAGGGGCACTTCAGACTTTTCAGGGGCACCAGTCCTCTCCGGGCGCAGGGGTACCAGCGGCCTAGCAAGGGCACCAGAGGCCTGCCAGGGGCACCACAGGCCTAACAAGGGCACCACGGGCCTGCCAGGGGCACCTCAGGCTTGTCAGGGCCCAGGGACACCACAGTCCTTCCAAGGGCACCGCAAGCCTGTCAGGGGCACCAGAGGCCTGCCAGGGGCACCACAGGCCTAGCAAGGGCACCACTGGCCTGTCAGGGGCACCTCAGGCTTGTCAGGGCCCAGGGGCACCACAGTCCTTCCAGGGGCATTACAAGCCTGTCAGGGGCACCAGAGGCCTAGCAAGGGCACCACAGGCCTGCCATGGACACCACAGGCCTGCCAGGGGCACCACCGGCCTTGCAGGGGCGCCTCAGGCCTGTCAGGGGCACCACGTGCCTGCCGGGGACACTCCAGGCTTGTCAGGGGCGTTACAGTCCTGTCAGGGCCCAGGGGCACCAGGCCCGTGGTGTCCCTGCTAGGCCTGTGGTGCCCCTGGCGGTCCTGTGGTGCCCCTGCCAGGCCCAGGACTGTGATACCCCTGATAGGCCGGTGGTGCCCCTGGCAGGTCTTTGGGCCCTCGGGCCTCAAGGGGGGGGCCATGACCCATGTGACCCCCCCCCTTGGATCCGCCCCTGTCGCGAGTAGGTAGAACAAATCTTTTAAACGTCGAGCCGATAGGCGAGACGTTTAAATGATTTTTCTACCTACGAGCAGTTTAATAATTTTATCCCGTACCGCTGATTCCTTTCGGGCGCTTAAAGGTAAAACATACATTTTATTTAAAAATACGACACATTTCAGCAGAGCCAGAGACAAAGAGAAGCAGACAGATAAAGCTTTGAAAAACGGTCCAGACAATGTGCTCGATCTGGAATTGGCAGGTTCATTGAAGCTCAAGTCGCAAATACAAATAAAAAAGAAAAAGAAAATGATGTTTCATTGCGTTTCCCTGCGCATGCTGGTGAAAATAGCGAGACAGTCAAATGGAAGAGAAGTCTACTACTGTTAACGCCAGACCCCTTGAGGCTCTAATTTTTCGCGATTATTTTTAAATGCGTGGAAGAATTTCAACCAAGCTCAGGACATGGCCGTTTCAAAACCTGCCGAAACTTTTACAATTTAGATATTTTATCGCCATTTCAATATTTCAGGCACTTCTCATTGACTCGTAATGTTAAATTTCGAGCAAGATTTTCACCCGGTGTGTAGAGGCTATCACCAGTCAGTCTTTGATACGTTATGACGTCACAACTAAGTCCCGCCTCTGTGGTCTTGGCCTGCGGCGGTTTCGGGCCGGCGCGCGGTCACTCTCGCTGTGGCGGGGAGCGGGGACGGTCGAGCGGTGCCGAAAGCCGGCGGAGTTGTGCGTAACGTCTTGGCTGACAGTGTCCAAAGAGCGACATGATGACTGAGGAGCCATAAATGCTAAATGCCCATTGCTTGTACAATGCTGATATGTTCGCTGATATTTGTTTTATTTTTTTACAAGCTGCAAATGACGGGCAGATGGCATACCTATAACTGACATAAGATTAAATATTCACCTGTATTTAAAGCCTATGGCGTTGCAGATAAAGCGATACTGGGATGTCGGATGTCACCAAGTAGCTGCCGATTTGTACATCGCTATGCAACCATCGAACAACGCAATAATAAGTTAATTGCCTTCGCTTCACATCATATGTAAGGCTCGCTCGTATTTCAAACAGATATCCTACATCGAAAATCGCATTTGTTTGGAATCGTTAACGTTTGTTCGAAGCACGTGTGAGTAGTAGGTTGAGAAGTGATGGTCCTCTTGGTCCTATAGGTATACAAGAGTCAACAAGAGCCTGACACTTGTTTGACCGTCTGCTGCAATTGATTCATAGCACGTGAAGCGTCAGCGAAATTCATAATCCTTTACAGATGGCAGGGGTGTCGTTTTGACAGAGGTCGCTGATGGGCATGGGTCAATGCCGCAGTCGTGGGCGGAGCCTAATGTCATATGACGTATGAAAGCCTCTATCCAGGATGGAAAAACAGTTAACATTACGAGTCAATGACAAGTGCCACAAATATTTAAGTGACAACAAAATGTATTTGAAGAAAAAGTTTCGGCAGGTCTTGAAACAGCTCCTTCCTAAATATGGTTGAAATTATTCCACGCATTTAAAAATAATCGCGAAAAATTAGGGTCTCAAGGGGTCTGGCGTTAACAGTAGACGTTTAACAATTTGTTAATCGTCACTAGACGTTTAACAAATGATCCAGGACAACGATCCTGCGCACATGAGTGGGGTGACGATAAGCGAAGCGGTGAGCTGTGGCTTTGAGTTGAAGTCGTGCCCACTTTTTTCTCCGTACCTTGCACCCTCTGGTTGCCACCTCTTCCCAACATGAGAAAATCGCTTAGCAGTGGCAACTTTGCTGACAGCAGGGAGACGAAATCAGCCGTCTTGGACGCGCCAGATGTGTCCAAGACCCACTTGGTTATTGAGGCCCTGAGGGCTCTCGCGAAGCGCTGCGCGAAATGTGTTTGCCCTAACGGTGATTATTTGAAAAAATGAACATTTTTGGTCTAATAAGTCGATGCCGTATCTATGCTTCTTTCTTCATGGTCGGGCCCTGAACTTTGTGACCGCTCTCCGTATGCACTAGCATGCTGACACTTGACATTTAATACATTTCATTTAATAAATTACGTCACATCAATCATTATACGCGTAAAATGTTTTTAATATAACCCGCGCCGGGCCGGGGGGGGGTGTTTGAACACCCCCCTTGCAGTTTTTCGCAGATATCTCAAAAACGGCGGCGCCGTTTTTGGCACACCTGTTCGTGCATCTTTTCCGCACATGTTGTGAAAATTTCAGACCCAGGTCACCTTAGGTCAGGTCACCAGGTCACGCCAAGTGACCTCACCTCAGAAAAAATAAGAATGCTCGTCATAGCTACACCGACTGAACGATTGCCTTGAAACTTTCAGCGATTGATTAGAGCAACACTATCTATAAAATGTATATCTCGGAATTTTGATATCGGTGACCTAAGGTCAGGTCAATTTTACGGCCTCTCCATTATACATAAGTCAATGGGAGAAAATTGAAAAGCGTCTGTTTTGCACGAACGCTATTCTAGACACTCTCAAACATCGAGATGTAGGTAAAATAGACACACTGAACCAGAAAATGGCAACTGTGACCCCTCGTTATGTCCCCGAGGTCATCTCAGGTCACGAACAGAATCTAACAGTTTTTCGATGATAACTTCTGATAGAGGAGCGCTAGAGCGCTAAAAACGCCTTAGATGTGTTCGGTTCGACGTTGCGGATCGGCTGATATGCAACATGACCTTTTCCGGTCAGGTCATGACCTTGACCTGAGGTCAAATTTTCAAGTTGACCTTTCAAGGTCAAATTATAGTTCATTCGACGCGTCTCGACGAGAGGAACACGATGCTGGCAAAAGTAATGTCATAGCTCTTTTGAGTCAAAAGTTATTGCCGAAAAACCGTTTTTCGTAAAAACGGCTATTTTTGGAGTTTTTGCCCTCTGGAGGCTAAACTGTTGGCCTGAGGTCAAATCTGAGAACATTACTCAGAAAGGTCTGTAAAAGGGCTATCGAATGCGCTTTTTTGCGGCGCTGTAGCTCTATCGGTTCCCGACATAGCCGTTGGGAGTTTCCAAAATGTTGAAATAGTCAACATTTAACCTTTGGTGACCTCTGGTGACCTGACCTTTGACCTGACCCAAAAAATGACCGAAGCGTTTTCGTCCTTATATTTGACGTTCTTTCGATTGCCGCTTACCGCGTGTCGCTACGTGGCCCAGGAGCCGAGTTAGAAGGGGGGTGTTCAAACACCCCCCCCCCCCCGCGGCCCGGCGCGGAATCTCAGAGCACCGGCCCGGCGCGGGATAATTTATTATTTGTTTCAGTTTGCGGCCTGGGGGCCAGCAAGACTTTTTAAAGTATGATAATAGGTTTGACTACAATTTCAAATGTCATTGTTTGAAATTTAATTGTTTATTGGGATTTTTTTGGGACTTTAATTGTTAACCTAAATTGTTTATTGGGTTTATTGGGACCTTTAGGACTTGAGTCCATTCACCATACTGTTGAATCTTGAGTCGACTCAGCATTTGTGCCATTTTCTTCGAGTCATGAATTGAATCGAGTCATGATGTTGAAGCCCACTTTGTGTCATGAGTCGAGTCGATTCCAGTTTGCGACTTCCAAACGTGAATCGACTGATCCACATTTCAAGTGGTACCAATGTCTGTCTGCCTGCGGCCTTACCAGCGCGCCCGTCGGCGCCGGCGACGGTGGCGAGCAGGCGCAGCAGCGCCGCCGGCAGCGCGCCGCCGGCGGCCCTCTCACAGATCAGCTGCACCTCACTGGTGACCGGTGGCGCGGCGGCTCCCGCCTCGCCCTCCACCTGCCGGAGGCACAACACTCACAGCTGGAGCAGCACGGCCGTCGGACATATCAGTCTGAAAATGTAATACAAAAGGAAAAAACGATTGGAAAGAAAAGAAGAAGGGAGCTTACCAAAAAACAAGACGCCTTTATAGGGGGTCACAAACGAGCACGCACGATAGCGAGCCCTGCACGTGCGTAAGTGTAACGGAATGCCTCCAACTGACTAATGCAAGGTACCCTACAAAATCGTCCAATTTGAGCGTCATGTGCCCAGCCATTCTTGTTATGTGGAAGCGGCATCTTGCACGTGCGCACGTGCTAAACGAGTATCAACTGACTCATGGCTAGTATGGTAAGGTATTCTTTTCTCAGACTCAGACTCAGACGTGTATTAAGGAAATCCACTAAAAGCGGCTATTACATCCTCTCGTCAAAAATTAAAACGGTGGTTTCAAAGTCAAGATAAAGAGAGACAAGCATCACAATCACACTCGCATACATCATAGTCAAGATAATACAAGAAACATAGATACAGACAATACCAGCACACATACACACCAGATGGTTAGCTCAACTCAGTCAGGTTGGATCCGTCAGCAGCCGCCTGAGGCGGTGCTTAAAAACAGGCACCGGGAGCCCGAGCAAATCGGGTGGCAGGCGGTTGTAAAGAACCGGACCACGGCTGATGAAGCGCCTCTTGCCTGCTTCGGCTCTACTATGGACGTCAAACCCCTTGAGACCCCACTTTTTTGCGATAATTTTTAAATGCGTCACTTCTCGTTGACAATATTCTGGCAATGTGCGTTTCAGAACCTGCCGAAACTTTTATTACTAAGGTATTTTGACGCCAAACGATTATGAAAGGTACTTCTCATTCACTCGTAATGTTAAATTTCACGGAACGAATCTGCTGTTTGGGTAGAGGCTACGCGCTCATGGGGCGGAGCCACGTAATGACGCCAGCGCTAAGCTCCGCCCTACCCCTCCGGCGCTCCTTGCCCGGCGACCGGTCACTCGCGTCTCTCGCTCCATTCAGGCTTGATGGTGGGCGGTAGCTGGTAGCGGTAGCGGGCGCTGGTAGATGATATTAAGAGCAGATGGCGCTGGTGGCGGGGCTCGAGTGTGGCCGAGCGCAAGCCTCTGCCCGGGCCTGAATTGACCTTAGCATTACGAGTGAATGAGAAGTACCGTTCATAATCGTTTGGCGTCAAAATACCTTAGTAATAAAAGTTTCGGCAGGTTCTGAAACACACATTGCCAGAATATTGTCAACGAGAGTTGACGCATTTAAAAATTATCGCAAAAAAGTGGGGTCTCAAGGGGTTTGACGTCCATAGTAGATCGGAGCACATATAGTGAGTGGTCCTGTCGGGTCACCCTAGCTTGCGCTCCTAGTGAGCTCCTAGCGGCAGCCACGGTTGACAAACAGGCGGCTAACACCTCGGGCTCACCGAAGCGCAGCAGTTTGTGCACCATGCACAGTGTGCCATGCACCACAAGGTTCTCCGCGCTGAGCCAACGCAGCTTCTCAAGCAGGTCCGACACGTGATCATACTTTTTGCGTCCGAAAATGATTTTTGCCCCATAATTTAGAGTCTTCTGAATGAGTGCAAGGTTCTTCTTCGAACCGTTGCCATAGACAGTGATACAGTATCGAAGCTGCGAGAGAACCAAGGCGTTGACCAGCACGGAGATGACGGACGGAGGCAGGCGCCCCCTGAGATGTGACAGGCCACTGAGAATGCCGAAACAGCGCCGGGTGACGGCAGAGACGTGAGTGTTCCAGGTGAGGTTGCGATCGAACGTCAGGCCGAGATTTTGTGCTTCCGAAACGGGAATGATAACGTGATCGCGAAATTTTACCGTAACATTTGGGGCATTGCGCAAATTTTGAGCGCTACCCAGCAGCATCAGTTGAGTTTTCCCGGCATTGACTTTTAAGCCGTTGGCACGGAACCAGAGGTCAAGAGAAGCTAGCGTCTGTTCCATCCGGTATAATACGTTATGAATTTGACTTTTTTCCACTGACCAAAATTTGGGTGTCGTCTGCATATTGAACTACGACTGCATCCTCGGCGAACAAGCTAAGGTCGTTGGCAAAAATGCAATAGAGAAGAGGGCCGAGGGCGGAACCCTTGGAAAACACCGATGCTGTTGGGGAGCGGAGATGAAGTAGTTCTTCCACCCAGAGCGTCAGTGAGGCTGACACTTTGGGTGTGGCCGTGAAGATATGCCGAAAACCAAGCTGTATCGATACCATGAAGCTGCAATTTAGTCAATAATTTATCGTGGTCTATCACATCAAAACATTTGCTCAAATCCAGCAGGCAGAGAAGGGATAGCTCTCCACGGTCGGTAGCGGATAGGATGTGATCGGATATGGATATCAGCGCGGTTTCAGTCGAGTGACGAGGCCGAAAACCGTGCTGAGTGGGGGAGAGGAGATGGTTGTTGGATAGGTGACTGTAGAGCTGTTGATGTACGGCTTTCTCTACAATTTTGGATATAATAGGACGATAGAGATTGGCCGGAAATTTGATGGATCTGAAGGATCACCGGTTTTCTGAGTCCAACGATGCCTTTTTTAAAGAAAAATTGACTGCTAGGGCCTCCCAAAACGCCTTGAAGAGGACCAATCACCATGTTACGCCCGGCGACCGGCCGGTGTCAATAAGGGCGAGAATTCGACGCCGCGCGCCGGCGGCAGCGCCTTATCGGCCCCGCGCGCCAGGACATCTGCCGGGCGGCCGGCTGGGCGGTGGGAAGTTATGAGTGCGTGGTCTTATTTCACACGATCGGGGTGCTTTATCTCATGGTGTCGGGGCGGAAAGTTTCAGTACAGCAAGTCAAACAGAACTAAGAAAAGACTCAATACTTCCGGGCGGTTCACTAGGACCTTTCTGTTTTGAGAATACAGCTGTATTATTAATGTGCCGTATTTCCTTCTCTGTCCAGCTTTGGTGGTCTTTAGAAAACTTCCACCGACAATCCTGCTGTTTATTCGTGAATATGGGTTAACTCAAAGGTTTGTTTGACTTTATTTTCGAATTTTCACAGATTTATGTGCAAATCGTGATATCTTAGATTGGGTACCCGACCACCGTAAGCTATTTTGCCAGTTTTCGGGTCGACTGGCGTCGTTTTGTCGCCGACATGGTGACCACCCATCGGCGACTGAATCCAGCCCCCGTTCACGAGCTTCAGAATTCCTTTACCGTGACGTCATCACGGCGTAAGAATTTCCCTTCACCCATAGCAATGCATGCAAATCATGGTGTGTTTCAGGCAGGCTAAGGAGAAATCCAAGGCCTATATGTGTTCAAAAGACATACCACTAAGCCAATGGATTCGTCTCATTACGATAAATGGGGTTGAAATCGAAACATTCGGCCTATATTTAACTAAAATGGGCCAATCAAATGGTCCCTGCAACTCATAATGAAGGATTTCCTCTGCGTTAAAAAATTTGTTTCCATTGATTTTTATCAGCCACAGGGGAAATCCTTCATAATTGCTACCAGATTACTACCAAATTCCCTCGCATTTCTGTTGCGCATTGCCTCACAAATAAGAGTTTTATGAAGTTAATACTAATTTAATTGTCATATTTTGACTGATTTTGGCGATCCTTAATTATTTCAACGCAGCATGGATCAGATAGATCTCATAGTTTGCTGAAGAATATGGCTTTTGCTTGGTTATTTTCAAGCTATATGTGATTTAGTGCGCCGTGAACGTAGCATTATGCAAATTATATCAACTTTAAATATTGAATCAACTTTTGAAGTGAAGTTCACATGAAAAACCAAAAGTTCAAGCATAATAATTGTTTAAACATAATGATGCAACATGTGTCTCCCAGATGGAACTTATATTTCAATTGAAAACTGAAAATGGAAAACAGAAGATGGATCTGCGGAGTTACCATGAGATCACAAGGTGCTCTTGATTGCTGGTAGTTGAAGATGTTGAGAGAACTTGTGAATCTGCATACCAGTCCTGACTTGCTTGATTGTTCAAAACTATTTTAATTCTCATAATTTTGTAATGTGTAGTGACTGTAAACACTGCGCAGCACATAGAAATGTGCAGGTGGCTGGTAGGTGGGTTAAACTTAGGAGGTGCGAATTTGGATGTCAGTTACAAAATTAATGGTTATGCCTTGTAGAGCAAGCTCTGCTGTTACTTTTGTCTTTTTATAATTGTCTTTTTATAATTGTAACCTACAATGCTGTTAGTTTCATTTTTATTCAAATGCTCAACCAGAATTTGCACTTGTTCATGCATGAATGGCAAAGTTTGGGGTGTTTATTCAACCCTGACTGCTTAAGTTTTTCAAAGGCACATGACACAGCATGGCTAGATCCCGCTAACTTTGGCCTTACATGAGCCTTATGGACCTCCAGTACAAGTTTGTCCATCGACGGACAATCGTCCCAGACTCCAGATGATTCTTTTGAGTTGGCCTTTTAGCCAGTTTTTTTTTTTCGCCGAGTGCTCGGAATTTTCAGGTGCCTTCTACATGACGATCTTGGCAACCGTTGAAATGCAGAAGGGCAGCCCGGGGGGGGGGGGAGGGGACGGATCGGCCGACTAAAAACCCGATATTAGGTATTGTTACCGTACTTTTTGACTCGAATAAGAATCAGCGGCGTGAAGCGCCTCAAAAATATTACAGCCAATTGGCAAAACAGCTCCAAAACACCTTGATTTTGCAGCCCGTGTAACAAGTTCGATGCCAGAACACCTAAGGTCTGGTCACCAAGTCAAGTAACTCTGCCTCTAAAAAAATTGTTGTCCTTTAACCGTATAACTTATTTCCTAGAAGTTTGAAATTTTGTGTCGTGCAACTGCATGACTGCGGGGTCGGAGCCAGACCTTGGCAACTCGTCAGCTTCACTTGACAGCTCTGGCCAGAGTCGGAGCTGGAGTCACCGAACTCATTTGTACTTCGACTCCGAAGTCAGAGTCGACATTTTCTGGCTTGAAGTCATGCTCTTAACCCTCGCCCTGGCAGGGCATTTTTCATAACACGGCCTGGCAGGGGGGGGGTCGATGCGACCCCCCCCCCCTCGCGATTGGCTCCTATGGCACCTAGAAACACCAAATTTGGTAGGTAGGTGGGCCCCCTGGAGTTCTCGCCCCTGTGCAAATTTGGTTGCTTTAGTTCAATATTTAGGGGGTTTTGGGGGTATAAATGTATAAATTTCGCTAAAAACAGGTCAAAAGTTTTTCGCTTATAACTTTTGATCTAATTAAGATAGGGCAAAAAGAAAAGCACCAGTGAACTCAGCACGTCAAGGTGCGTCGAATGATATACTTTTTAGCTTGCTAAAGTGTACTTAAAGTTTTTCTTAATTTTTAAGTAAACTTTAATTAATTAATTAAGTTCAAGTTAACCAAATTGCATCATATCGCATATCATTCGATTCGGCTGATCACCAGGAACACAATGACACCATCTTTTAAGCTCTAGCGTCATTATGTGCCAAGTTATTGGCAAAAACGTCATTTGACCTCAGTTGACCTCATTTGACCTGACCCATGGATAAGTACACCAAACAAAGAAGCACCAAGTGACCTGCTGTTAAGTTCTGTGGTTTCAAAGCACAAAAGTGATAGAACGAAGCGGATATCTCCAGTATTTTCCGAATTTAGTATTTTCCCATAGGCTTAACATTACGACGTAATGACCTCTAACTGACCTCAGGTCAGTGACCTCAAAAAACCCGAACTATATGTTATACAAGTTGGTGAACTTAGCACATCGTGAACGTTTGAAGGAAATCAGTCCAAAACTGTGAGTTGGACAGGTGCAAAAAGAAAATTGAAATTTGACCGTGAACTTGTACCGGTTTTTCTGACCTGGTGACCTGACCCAAGGTCACCCGGACCTGAAATTTTCAGGTCATATGTAAAAAGGTTGCCCCATAGGCTGTGCCAAAGCGCCGCCGTTTTTTACGCTATCTTCGAAAAACCTTAGGGGGGTCGCATCGACCCCCCCCCCCCCCCTGCCAGGGCGAGGGCTAAGTCTTAACTGGTTAGTCGAAATATATGAAGCCGTTTTAGCCAGTCGTTTACAGTACACGTGGAATTCGTGGATGACGATATAAGAATTAGCAGTTTCCAAAGGACGGGGGGACAGGGGGGATAAGAGGTGGAGGTTTTGTTGGCCGTTGTGACTGGTGGACGGTGGCTGTATATAGGGGCAGACCAATATAGGCCGACACTGAGTATTAAAACCTCCTGGACTCTCTCATACCACACACCATTCCGTCATTTCTATCCTCAGCACAGTCAAATCCCTCTCCTCCACGCCTCAACCCCTTGTTCCGGGCTGCATGGGCAACATTATCCCATGCGGGAACCCCCGATAAGAGCACACCCGTAACCGGGTGCGGTGAGTGCTTAGGGGCTGGTCGGCCTGCCCTCTGGACGGGCTCAGCCCCGGCGACTCACCAGGGTGCTCGCCCAGACCAATCCCCCCCCCCCCCAATTCCTATCATCCTCCCGGCTCCGAAATGGTCTCGTCAGACCGAAAAGGCCTAACCCAATAAAACAAATCCCAGATCGTGGCGAGGTCCTCTCACACCAGCATCAGGTCCTGACCATGGGTGGAGCTTTTCCAGGGAAGTTGGTGGGACAAAAAGTCGTCAAACCCACAATGTCCGATTATAAAGTTGAATAGAATGCCACACTGAATCAATTCCTATCATTACGGACATAATATTTTACATTTAACAGACATCCAAAGCTCTTCAATGCGAAAAATTACTTTGCAAAGCAACAAAGTCTTAGAAATCAGCCAAAGTTGGTGGGGCAAAATACCAAGTTGGTGGGGCAGCCGCCCCGCCAACTGTATAGGAAGCACCGCCCCTGAGGTCCTCTAAGGCCATGGTGAATTGGTGAGCCCCTTCGGCTGTCGTTTTGCGTAGCACGGGAGGATGACTGTAAGTGGGGGTCTTGCTTGAGTATTGTGAATACTCTAAAATGTGTGGCTTATTGTAGCTGTCACCCCACCCAGAGGACCGAACTACAGCCCTGGGTAGGTGTACCCAAGGGTGTACTTACCTGAGCCGCTGAAGTGCCTGAGTTCTCAATTGTACGGTCGAACTGACCAGCATCAGTATTCTTTTAACCCTCGCCCGCACATGCCATTTTCCAATCCTAGAACGCACATGGGGGGGGGGGGGGGTTGCCACCCCCCCCCCGCGCCATTTCGTTCCTGTTGGAGATAGAGCTTCGCGGTATAGACCAAAAAGATTCTTTGGGAAGAGACGAATCCAATGATACCCAGTTTTACCTTCTCAGGTCAGTCATTGACCTTCCAGGTCAGGTCAAACTAAAAAATGTTGCTGTTTTGGGTCACCGATGGATATCAAGTGCGCTGCTTAGCATATACCGATGACGATGCCGTTTTCTGGTGCCAAGCCAGCTAGAACCTCTTTGTAACACTACCCGACCAGATTTTTGCTGCTGAGGTCATTTCAGGTCAAGTTAGGTCAAGGTCAAATATATGTGTTTGTATGTCTGTGTGTGTCTGTGTGTATACTGATGTGTGCACCGTGTGTTTATGTGTCCATATTACATGAAATCATGATCTGAGAAGCTTTTACCAAAAATGCAGTCAAAAAACTTCACGAAAAGTAAATTACGCTTGCCTAAAACGCAATTATTTTAGATGACCTAGGTTGACCTTGACCCTGACCTTGACATCTGTACATCGTCGAACAACATGTTCCATGATAGGTGGGAGGTAAGACTGGCAAAACAGGCCGAAATCAAGGTGTCAAAAGCTCACAAAGCCCATAGCCAACGAAAGATGTTGAGAATTGGTCATTTGGGTCATGACATGACCTGAAAAATAAGGTCATCTCCGAAATCAAAAACCACAGAAATTTGAAATTTTCAGTGGACATCAAGAAAGGATAGAGGAGCAGCTATACGAAAAATCAATCATGAATTGCGCGCTGCATCCCACAAACCAGTCTCTTGCGGTGCGCCAAATTTGGGCGCAATCTTCCCGGCCGTTGTTGAGATGTGGATTGGAAGCTTTGGTGAGCAGGTGAGCGGCCTCACCTGTTGGCGGTCGAGCAGCGATCGTATCAGCCGCACCACTTGGACGGCGCCGTGGCTGTGGCTGCGCAGCACAGTGGAGGCCAGCGCGGCGGCTGCGCACCGCGCTGGCAGCGACACCCGGGCGCTGGCCAGACGGGCGGCCAGCGCGGCCAGCGCGGCGCGGCGCACCCCCGGCGACAGGCCGGCCAGCAGCGCGGCCAGCTGCCGCAGCGCCGCCGCCGTGTACTCCCAGTGCGAGACGGCCGCCGCCTCGGCCAGCGCGGCCGCCGCCTCTGTCAGGAGGACATCACCAAAACGGCGTCAGACAGACACACAGAGACCGACCGCCGCACTGCGGCGAGACTTTATCCATCCTACCACGATTTGATTCGTATCGCACACTACGCTACATTTACTAACTTTATTTAGCCTTCAAATGGTTGGGCTAAGGGTGTTTGATCCCAGACAACATGGCTGGCTCCCCTGTTCCACCCCACCCCTCCTCATGGACTTAGCGCTGAGTCGTTTTCGGCACTAGTAATGCATCGTGGGCGTGGAAGCGTTCAAAAAGTGGATCGGAGCTACAATCGCTTTAGAAATAGATATTTCTTCATGCCTAACTCAATCATCAAGAGGCATTTCGGGTTTAACCTTTGCACTTAATTATCCTTGCACTTAAAGGGGAGGGGATCGCACAGATTCTCCGCCCTCGATTTTTTGCTACTTGCGTTCGCTGAATCAATCAATGATTCACTTTGGCTTTGAGTTTACTAGTAGGATCTAACTAGAGCCGGCAGCGCTCTTGCGTTGCCTTGGGCCAGAATTGGAGGAACGGAACTGAGGGCACACACCGGGCAAAACCACCGAAACTCAGACTGAGCTCGGACTGAACCTGAAACCAACCGAAACATCCCACAAATGCTTGGAAGCACGCGAGATTGGTGTGGATATCTACCTACAGTAAGATATGAATTAACCCGCGCCCTGGTGGGGTCTGTTTATAACGCGACCTGGGCCTCGTTTCATAAAACTCTGCCGTAACTTACACCTTTCCGTAATTCACACCCTTTCAAACTACGGAGCGCAAATGAAGCGGTTTCACAAAGCCACAACTGGCATTGTTTACAGCTCCGTAACTAAGCACATTTGCGTAGTTGCCGTAATTTATCAAGCGTCCTACAAATTACAATTTCGTGTCAACACTTATTTTTTACAAGAAATTATAAAACAATTATGTTGAATTTTTATCTTAAAAATTATTTATGAAAAAAACAAAATTGATATTGATGACCATCCTTTATTAAATCAATATATTGAAAACAGCAGAAAGCCAGCTAAGCAGAAGTGCCTTACTACGAAAGTGGCGCGGCGCGGCGAATAAACAAAATTCCGATAGCTGCCACAAAAAGCGACTGGTACAGAAGACTTGCAGTTTCTTTTTCTCATTTTGGCTATTCTTTCTTCCTCACCGGGCTCAACATTATAAAATATATTAAAAATTAGCTTCAAATCTTCACATTAATTCAAATTCACGCAACATTTCTGTGCGTAGTTTACACCACTGATATCAAGAACTTGATCAAATATTTGGCGTTAATCACGTCGTTTTATGAAACCCAAATGGCATCAATTGGTCCGGATTCGAGCATTTGCCGTAAATGAAGCTCAGTAATTTCGATGGCGTGAATTACTCCGGTCTCCGGCTTTATGAAACCGAATTGGCATCAAATACGCCAAATCTGGCATAATTGACGGAACGCCGTAAGTAATTCCTTTTATGAAACGAGGCCCTGGTGCGGGGGGGGTATTTTTTGCCCCACCCCTCATATCTCCGAAACTACTGGACGGATCCGTAAAATTCAAACGGCGCTCGAAAGGCCCGTCAAATTTGTCGAGGGAAAGTAAAATTGCATTGACCTCGGGGTCACCGATGACGTCACAGGCCAGGTCAAAGATGAAATGTTTCACTGTTCGCGGGTCTTCTAGCGAAATCGCTATAACACCGAGGAAAACGCATTTTGTCGAGAATCAGCGATAGGGCGTCAGTTGCCTAGTACAGGGTGTCTCAAAAGTTCGTTGACAGGTGGGGCATTCCACGATAGATCGTACCAGGCCCGTCACCCTCATCTCTCAGATTTGAATGAAAATTGGTACAAGGGGTAATCATAGGCTCCAAAAACACCTGCCAAAATATCAGACTTCTCAGATGAAAACTTTTTGAGCTACATTGCATAATACTTTCTTAACTTCAGATTGTAAGGGTGAGTTTGATGAGCTATAACTCAAAAACGAGCTAAGCAAGCAACAAACGGTAAACAGCTTTGAATTAACGATGAATCAAAGATAAATACAGTATTTTTAAAATTGGAAAGAAAAGCTTTACATATTGATAAAAGTCGTAGTATTTTTTTTAAATTGTCTATAATGACCCTTGGGACCAAAATTTTTGCCATTTTTATTTCTTCAAAATAAACCTCAGGTCCTTTAAAATCGACATGCAAAAAATTAGAAAGGTGTTCTTTCTATAAGTTCCTCATTTAAATGTATACAAAATGGGTTTCCGGGGGGTCGATACGACCCCAGCTCGCCGTTTCGCCTCTAATGGAGCTAGAACCTTGCGGAAAAAACGAGCATGTGCGCCGTTACAAGATGCATCGAATGATACCAAATTTTAAGGTCTCGGGTTCATTGGTGACCCCTGAGGTCATTTCAAGTGACCCAAAATTACGGGTCCGGTTTTTGATAGATAACTTCGCAACAAATGGTCGCAGAGCCGCGATTTTAGCATCTTAGTGTCTGCCTAGCTCCGGCGCGTCGAATGGTATACTGTTTGTTCTGGTGAAGTCAGCTTAAGTCGCTGACCTCGGGTAAGCACACTGCCGTGTATTTGGCTCCGCGCCCCGACCGGGCGGCCCAGCCGGCAGCTGGCCCCCGGGCATCACGTGACCGCCCCGAGTCCACGGCAAAGCCAACCAGCGCGGCGCTGGACAAACAGCGCCGCTACAGAGATGGTTAACAGTAGGGTCAGGCCACGAAGCTGGGTGAATGAGATCATTTTGCACATCATTCGATTCGCAAGGTCTTCCCGAGTCCATTGGTAGCCTTCCCGTCTCTCTAGCTCAATTTGATCGAGAGTTATTGACGAAAAACTCTTATGACCCTAGTGACGTACGAATGACGTCACGCAAGGTCAACAACGCAAAAGTGAGGCAAAAATGACTTCAATTGAACTTTCAGTAACCAGTGATGTCACTAGGCAGCTTTACCACACCATTTGTAGGCTCTCTTCCAAAATCACAATTCGAGACCATTACGGTGACGCAAAATAAGTACATTTATAGAAAGAACACCTTCCTAATTTTTTGCATACTACTTAAAAATGATCCAAAAATGTTTTTAAGCAAATAAAAATTCGAAAAAATTTGGTCCCAAAGGCATAAAAATGCAAATGAAAGGAAACTCGGTGTTATATATAAAAAATAGTATATATTTCAAAATTTTAAAAATGCATATTATTCTTTGTTTCAATGCAAGTTCAATGCCGTATAGCATTTGGCATTTGGATTATCCGTCTTAGAGTTACAGCCCGCCAAACTTGGGGCTGCAACGCAAGATCCAAAACATGTTATACACTATAACTCAAGAACCACTCGTCTGATAAGCCTGAAATTGTTACAGGAGGATTCAGAGCCCCTGATTACCCCTTAGACCAATTATCGTTAAAATCCGAGAGATGAGGGTGTCAAATTGGAAAAAAGTGGTACGATCTATCGTGGAATGCCCCAGGTACCAGCCATGCTATGATGCTGTTTTGTCAATAATCCCAAATCAACAAGAAATTAACAGCCGAAATTTTGCATGGTCATTGGTAACAACCTTCCTTTAGCAGTTTCATTGTTTTCAAGCGCATTCGACCCTTCATGAGCTCACAAAAAGGGTTCACCTGTGACCATGTATCAGGCATGAAAATGAAGGTCGCAAAATCGGGTCGGCTGAGAAACTCTCTGCTTCAGGAGTAATGGGAATGGTTAGGTCGGAAATGACACATGGTACAGTGCCGGCGAGAATGAGTACAACATGATGATCATCTAATAAAAACGGTGGCTAAATTTTTTGAAGGACGAAACCATGCGAGACTAACAGCGCTTTGAACGACCCTTGTACGGGAGCAGAGTCGTGCTCCGGAAAGCAGCTGAGAATGCAGTCCTAACTATTGAAACCTGACTAGAAGCTCACAGACAGAGGTTACCCAGTTTCAAAAATTGCAGGTCATAATAAAATAAAGACAAAATGTCATTTAAAATTGTTTATAATACCTATACGCTAAATTTTTGGGGAAAATAACACGAAAATCGTCAATGCCGAGGACAAGTGACCCTCCAAAAGTGTCAATTAATGTAAAGTTTTATCTTACGAAGTTTCAAGAGGCAGATCTGGAGCAAATGGCTTTCTTTTACACACAAAATCCGGACAAAACCGCACGATGGACAGGACTCGGCCGTTTACAAAGCAGAACCTCTCCTGAGGAAAACAATCCGGAACCCAGCGAAGGTCTTGGCATGGGGAATGACGAGCGTTTGGGTTTTGCAAAATTTGCAAAATGTGTCTAAGAAACAGATGGCCGACACGCATTCTGCTACGATATGCTGCGAAAAATTTGCCCTGGCACTTCCCATTTGTTCAGGAATGGGGTTGTTTTGAAAAGGAAAATGGTGCTTCGGAGGTCGGCGCCAGTCATTCATGAAGGAGTTAGCGCCAGAGAAAACCTACAAAATACTCACGGATGGTGTCGATGCAAGCTGTCGGCTTTTAGGGAGAAGCGGATGTTGCCGGGGAGCTCGTCAAACCTAAATCCGACGCAGAAGCTGCAGGGGATTCCCCTACAAGAGCTTAAAAGCTGGTAACCTTTTATCAGCCTCAGGCAGCTGACGGAGCGACGAAAATCGGTATGGGCAAATATTTTTGGAGATAAAGCAAACGGTTTGGTTTTCAACCCTCTGAATCAGTTGTCAAAGCATGCATATTTGTCTAGTGTACACACAGACACCAAAACCTTAGATTTTTGGCCGGTTCTTATATGCTTTATTGGCATGATGGAAAATGTGTTAACGAACTTTTGAGACACCCTTTACATATCTTGCTATTTGAGGTCACTGACAATATCAGGTCAGGTCACAGGTCAGGTCACAGGTCAGGTCACCAAGGGTCAGCACAGGAACCCAGTTTTACTAAGGTTGTGCGATGCATGTTTTATGGCCAATTTTTCATTTCCAACTCAATGGTGTTGGTTATAAGACCATCAAGTACGGCTTAGTTCACTTTCTAGTTTCTGGTGAAGGTCAGGTCAAGGTCTGGTCAAAAAAGGTCAAATTTTAAAGTTGAGAGCTTTGCAAAAAATTGATATTGATTCGATGCAGCTCGTCACGGGGAGTCTAATGGTGGTCTTTGTTTTGCGCTACAATGGTTAAAAATTGAGTTTAAAAATTTGACGTCATCAATTTTGAACAGTTTTTTCCTTAACTTGGCCAAAAAAAGAGGTATCGATGTCAAATTTGGTATGTGGATAGAAGGTGGTAAGGACTATCACATATATCCCGGTTTTTTTCGAAATTCAAAAAACTTTTTGGGTTTTTCGGCAATTATATTACAAAAATTGATTTTTTTGGGGTCAAAATCAAAAAATTTCAAAAATCCGAGATATCAGTTTTGTAGCCCTGTCAATTCTACAGCTTTCGTGTCTTATCATTTTTCTGTATTTGCAAAGCTATAGGCCTGACAGCTCTTCCCGCGAAACCCTTTTTTGGGTCAAAAACGGAAGAACATGACGTCACTCTGACGTCATTTCCGGCCAACCTATCATAGCCTTTGAAAAAAAATGTTTGGTCAAAATGTATAAAATTGATGTCCGGGAGGGTACTGAAAGTTTGGTGACGATCGGCGCAGCAGTTCTGGAGATATTACGAAAAGTCTGGAGGGGGGCAAAAATAGCCCCCCCCCACCAGGGCGCGGGTTAACTGCACGTGCATAGTTCATGTTCCAGGCACTCCAGTGCGCCCCCCCCCCCTGCCCTGCCAGGGCGAGAGTAAATAATTTCGAGCACAGCTCTTCATCATAATACAAAGCTTAAAATGCCACGATAAATATTCAACCTTTGACTGCATAACTCATTGCAAAAATATTTCATGGCAAACATTTCCGCGCGCATATTCTCGAGAAAATAGTACAGTCGTGTACAGGTTGATGGTCCGCTACTCCAGGGGCGGATCCAGGAAAACTCCAAGGGGAGGGTCATGAATCGAAGTGGTGCCCCTACCTATACCCAAAATTAAAAACTCAACGGATTTCGTCCACTTCATTTTGGTGGTGCCCCCATTTTCAGTTTTTCATTTTTTTTTTAAATTTTTAGTCAGTATCTTAACTATTAGCCACAACCACATTTACCAATTGTAAGCAAGTATATATGAATGTGCTATGTGTATATATGTTGTGGACGCTGAGTAGTGAGTACTTACCAGGAACGTTATCAGGTAAGCAAATCGTTGTCAGTCCGACGAACTTGACCCTGGCGTCTAAAGGGTCTGTCCTTGACACTTCAGGCTTGTCAGGGGCACCAAAGTCCTTCCAGGGACACCACAAACCTGTCAGGGGCACCTACGGCCTTGTAGGGGCGCCACAGGCCCGCCAGGGGCACCACAGGCCTGCCATGAAGCAGGGGCACCACAGGTCTAGCAAGTATACACGACAGGCCTGTCAGGGGCACAACGGGTCTGTCGGGCCCATGAGCACCCCTAGGGGCAGGGGCACCACAGTCCTTCCAGGGGCACCGCAGGCCTGTGAGGGGCACCAGCGGCCTAGCAGGGGCACCAGTCAACACAGGCCTGCCAGGGGCACCACAGACCTGCCAGGGGCACCAGAGGCCTGCCAGGAGCACCACCGACCTCGCAGGGGTAACTTGGGCCTGTCAGGGCCCAGGGGCACCACGGGCCTGTCGAGAGGCACTTCAGGCTTTTCAGGGGCACCATAGTCCTCTCCGGGCGCAGGGGTAGCAGGGGCACCAGAGGCCTGCCAGGGGCACTACAGGGGCCTAGCAAGGGCACCACTGGTCTATCAGGGGCACCACGAGCCTGTCATAGCCAGGCATCTCAGGCTTGTCAAGGCCCAGGGGCACCACAGGTCTGTGAGGGGCACCAGCGACCTAGCAGGGGCACCAGTCAACACAGGTCTGCCAGGGGCGCCACAGACCTGCCAGGGGCACCACAGACCTGCCAGGGGCACCAGAGGTCTGCCAGGGGCACCACCGGCCTCGCAGGGGCACCTTGGGCCTGTCAGGGGCACCACGGGCCTGCCGAGGGGCACTTCAGACTTTTCAGGGACACCAGTCCTCTCCGGGCGCAGTGGTACCAGCGGCTTAGCAAGGGCACCAGCGGCCTAGCAAGGGCACCAGAGGCCTGCCAGGGGCACCACAGGACTAACAAGGGCACCACGGGCCTGTCAGGGGCACCTTAGGCTTGTCAGGGCCCAGGGACACCACAGTCCTTCCAAGGGCACCGCAAGCCTGTCAGGGGCACCAGAGGCCTGCCAGGGGCACCACAGGCCTAGCAAGGGCACCACTGGCCTGTCAGGGGCACCTCAGGCTTGTCAGGGCCCATGGGGCACCACAGTCCTTCCAGGGGCATTACAAGCCTGTCAGGGGCACCAGAGGCCTAGCAAGGGCACCACAGGCCTGCCATGGACACCACAGGCCTGCCAGCGGCACCACCGGCCTTGCAGGGGCGCCTCAGGCCTGTCAGGGGCACCACGTGCCTGCCGGGGACACTTCAGGCTTGTCAAGGGCGTTACAGTCCTGTCAGGGCCCAGGGGCACCAGGCCCGTGGTGTCCCTGCTAGGCCTGTGGTGCCCCTGGCGGTCCTGTGGTGCCCCTGTCAGGACTGTGATACCCCTGATAGGCCGGTGGTGCCCCTGGCAGGTCTTTGGGCCCCCGGGCCTCAAGGGGGGGGCCATGACCCATGTGACCCCCCCCCCTTGGATCCGCCCCTGCGCTACTCTTCATCCACCGGGTTCCAGTATGGCTCAGCATTGGCAGCAGCCGCCTGGTACCGGTAGGCTGTGCCGCATGACCCGTGAGTGAAGCGGCACAGCTTACCCACACTGTATGACACCGGCTCGGGTCGCCTGTTATAGCGATTTGACCGGACGCTGCGTTACACCGGCTGGGGGGGGGGGGGGTAAGGGTCAGGCCTGTCGATTTGGCTCGGCTCGGTGGATAAGGCGGGCTGGAGTGTGGTGTGGTGTGGGGCGGGGGGTAATGTGGGGAGGGAGTGAGCGGACCTGGGGCTTGGTGTGTGTGGTCACTTGTCGAATAGAACCGATCGTAATCCCCCCTCCAAAAATTCGTTTTAGAGACATTCACAAAACCCAGGGGGGTTCAAACACCCATCTCCCAAGTGGGGTGCGGAAGGACAGGTAAGGGTCCATACTAGAGATGTCAATCGGATACTAACTTTTTGGTATACCGATAACAAACCGATACCAACTCGGTATTTGGTATTTCAATCCTAATGTGTTTGGTATTTTGTTGGTATTATGAACCCTCGCTGATGTTTAAGAGGCTAAGAAATCGGTAAAAAGTTGGTATTTTCCTCATGTTCCCAAGTTGGTTTGGTTTCGGTATTTCTCCACGGTTTTGGTTGGTATTTGGTTTGGTATCGGTATTCCGATTTTCCGTAATTGACATTACTAGTCCATACGGTCTCCTCATGAATTGCAGCAAAGAAAGAAAACAGGTCAGTCACCAAATAATCTTTCTGAAAAGTGGACTAATCGCAAAGCCTCCCACACAGAAATAAACATCCAGCACGCGAAGCGTCTCGAACCGGGTCCCTCACTACCGGTCAGTTTGACAGTCGCGCACTCCTACGCTGGGCTACACCGGATGGTGGCTATGGTCGGGACAAAGTCTGGCCGGGCGGGCGGCGGGGCCGGGCGGGCGGCGGCAAAGTCAATTAATTTTTTTGTTGGTTCAGGTGCCGGTCGCTCTAGCTTGGTGGAATGATGATGGATCATTGGCAAAACTTTCAACGTGGAGTACCGGTTCGAGCCTCATCGGGGCTCCGGCTGCTTTTCCGAGTTAGGATCTGGTTTGATTTTAGTGGTTGCGAGCCATTTTAACGGTTTTATACCTACATGTCGATTGTCGATTGATTGATTGATTCATTCATTCGTTCATTTAATACATGTCGACATTTAGCATACGAATTGACATCCAGAATCAATCTACCATTTTCATAAACGTATTGCCTAAATAGCATGCATATATGTGGCACAAGACCTATGGTTGCCTCGATACCGTGCCAAATCACGTTTTGCACGATGCACAAGTAAAGTAAATTATATTCGCTGGGTCTTCCGTGCATTGTGCTTAACAAAAACAGGAATGCAATTGTTAAGCGATGCAAAATGTGCAATGCAGCAAGTGACCACACACACCCGCCCAGCCCCCATGGTCCACCAAACGCCCCACACCACTCGCCAGCCCACGCCAACCACCGAGACGAGCCCCTCCCCCCGCGCTGGTCTGACGCAACAGCTGGTCTACAAAGTGCTCCACCCGGCGACCCGAGCCGATGTCAAACAAAGATGGTAGACTGTGCCGCCTAACTTTCGAGTCATGCGGCACAGCCTACCGGTACCAGGCGGCTGCTGCCAATGCTGAGCCATAGGAACCCGGTGGATAAAGAGTAGCGGACCATCAACCTGTACACGACTGTACAATCAGGTGCAACGATTTTCAAGATCTAACAGCATGTTTGACCTAAAAATAAATTACATAAAGTGTTACACATCCAAGCTACAAAAATCACTGTTTAACACATCAACCAATAATTTGAAACAATTGTATGATGTATTGATCACCAACGGGTAAAAACCCAATGACAGGTGAAGTCAGCGCATGCATATAAACCTTAATTGCATTAAGGTCTTCCTTTAAAGTAAATTAGATTAGATAGTATTGCCAGTTGGGCAGAGACCCACCTGGTGGCAGTATGTGCGGCAGCAGGGCGGCCAGGTGGTGGGCGGTGGCCTCCGTCCATGCGGTCGGCAGGAGGGCGGTGAGCAGAGCGGCCGGCGGCGCCGTACCGGCCGCACGCCGCCGCTGCAGGCCAAACAGCTCAGCCAGGCCGCGGGCGCACAGCCACCCCACCTCGTCCGAGGCGCCGCCGTCCAGACCGTCAGCCAGCAGCTCCGTCAGCTGCCAGCAGCACAGACCGTCAGCCAGCAGCTCCGTCAGCTGCCAGCAGCACAGACCGTCAGCCAGCAGCTCCGTCAGCTGCCAGCAGCACAGACCGTCAGCCAGCAGCTCCGTCAGCTGCCAGCAGCACAGACCGTCAGCCAGCAGCTCCGTCAGCTGCCAGCAGCACAGACCGTCAGCCAGCAGCTCCGTCAGCTGCCAGCAGCACAGACCGTCAGCCAGCAGCTCCGTCAGCTCAGTGGCGCAGCTTTAGTTCATTTTATCGACAAACAAAAACAAAATAATAGCCAAGTACAGCAGTGGAGCGGCGCAAACGATTAACTTACATTAGCCCTCGCACTTACACAATTAGCCCTGTATAGGCGGGGGGGGGGGGTCGAATGGACCCCATCTGTTTTTTTCTCAAATAACTCGCGCAAAAAGCGGTCGATCACAACAAAACTTTGAAACTTTGTTTGGTCCAAAACAACTTTCAACACTGAAACATGCAAGACTATGCATAGAATGAAACCAACTGGTCTAACTTCTTTGTGCTTCTTCTGACAGCGGTTCGTCCCACAATGTCTTGCATTAACATTAAAAATAGAGCTGATGGTTGAAAGTATTCCACGTCTCGTGAACGAATTTACTTCAGCTGCCATCTTAAAGGGACTATCCCACCTTCTAAAATGTTGTTAAAACCAGTTAAATTGTTTTTATGTGGGCGAGGATGGATGGCATGATTATTATTAATATAACGAGGCTTGAAATGATCTCACGCATGTCAAAGTGTTTTTATTTTAGGCAAAATAAATATCTAAAACAGTAAAACAAGCTTTCGGCATTACGCCATCATCAAGGCATTACGCCAAAACTTGATGATGGCGTAATGCCGAAAGCTTGTTTTACTGTTTTAGATATTTATTTTGCCTAAAATAAAAACACTTTGACATGCGTGAGATCATTTCAAGCCCAGTTAAATTGTGCCCGACTTTATAGATTGGATGACCAGGAACAAAACTTTGGCATTTGGCATTTGGCATTTATTTTTCATTAAACATCTTAGGCTTCCCATATTCTACACAAACTTTCAAATATGTGACGTCACAGCCCAAAATTACCTCCTTCCCCAGGCCACATTACTGTCATAAAGCTGATTCTTTTTACTCTGTAGGCACCACAACAAAGTTCAGACCAAGTTTTAAGCGATTTTTCAACGAACAAACCCATTTAAATCAGAATGACTAAACGAGGTGACGTCACACTAACGGTCGCTCCATGTTGAAGATAGGGCCTTGTACAAGGCCCATTTTCAAATGAAGGGAACGAATTTCTTCAACACCAAGAGGCCGCGGGGGTTGCAACCTAGATAGATAGTGGTTTCTGAACCTCGCCGCAAACTTGGCTATCTCAACTCAAACCCCATGTTAAAGGTGGGTAGGCCCTTTAACCCTATTAGTGGCAGGCTCCTGGCTACCCCTATTAGTGGCAGGGGGGGCTGCTTACGACCCCCCTTGATATCTCGAGATCTAACGGGCCGATTTTCAAAATTCAAACGGCATTCGATTTCGCTCAACGTGATCTACATTTCTAAAAAATAAAAATTAAAAAATGTCAAAAGGGGGAGGGTAGAGGGGGGTAAAAACGGGCAAATTGCAGATACATTTTAGACTGTTTTCACGGCCAGGTTTCTGAACTGCAATCTTAACGCAACTTTTGCCGATCGATAGAGAATTAACCAGGAATTCACATGGATCCTAAAAATATGCATTTTCAAAAATCATAGGCGGATACAGATCATTGAGATTGGGGGTACACAAAAAGTATAGTAAATAAGGTTTTTGTTGGTACTGTTTCTAAAAAGGGTGGCAATGGTCTTGTTATGTTACAATTTTCTTATGAGAGAACGACTACAATTGTATTGGTCATGCATAGGCGGTGTCAGGGCACCTACAGGGTGTCCCAGAATTACCCGGACATTGTTAATTAGCGTATAAAATAAGGCAAACATGATTGCGCTTTTTTCTTTTTATTGTCCTATATAGTCAACTAGGTTGGCTGTGAAATAGCACATGCAATAGATACGCTTGTTACAAGATCAGCCGACAATGATTGAAAATGCCAGCCATTGCAGGTCTCAGTTGTTTTACGGCTCTCCCGAAACTGGGTGAAGGCCTGTTTTCTTTGACCTGTTGCCGGAGGATAATACGATCATATAAGATAAACTTAACATCAAAGTGTTCCCAGGTCATAAAGCATTATCCCCCAAAACAAAAATTGCTGCCTACACCACTTTTGCCGCGTTTTTTACATCTGAAGTGGAGAAGCTCCATGTCTGAACATGGCAGGACCTTTGGCTTCCAACAGATTTGGTTTCCAAAACAAACCCGTTCATGGCCATTTGGTTTACGGCATCCAGTTTTTGTACTGGTAGAATATTACCGCAGTAGTACTCTGTGCTAACGGCTGTCGTTGGGCCATCATATCAAGCCCAATGAGTGCACGGTGGCTCAAAATGTCTCACAATTTGATTTTCGACGGGTGCCTGGCCGTTTCTGCTGTTGGGGCGTTGTGGCCATCTGACGTTTACACACGCCTTTTTCGGGCGGTTCAAATGACAGAATACCTTCGTTAGACCACAAAGTGTGCTTCAATTTAATTTTTTGTTGTATATGTTATATTTTTGGGGTGAATTGTAGTGATTTTCGCTGCTTTTCCCGTAGTTTTCGCATATTTTTCAGGCGAGGGACCCCAAATTCCAAAATTTTGCGAAGATAGTGGTGGAAAGTAGACTGATGTTCTTTAGATAATCCTGATCTATCGTTTAGCTAGTTTTTAGCTAGATCAGTGACGTTTGTTGTCCATGACAAGCAACCACCCGTTTGACAACTGGTGCATGGCCCTTTTTGGCCGAGCCCAAGCTTGTCAATCAGGTTTATCTCTTGCTCTCTCTGGCTTCGTTAGCTGATATAATTGCGCTTTGCTCAATCCTAACTGTTTGCAGATGAGCTGCTGAAGCTCTCCAGCAAAAACCATGCCGAAAGCCCGTTTACAAAGTTGAAAACGGGATGTTGAAGTTTTATTTGAGACAATTGTTAATATTAACAATTGAAAACGGGAGTTGATTTACCATGGTTGCCTATTAGTGGCTTAAGCTGAAAACGGAAAAGGACTACTCTTACTTGACTCTGGATAATACTTGACTCGAGTCGTTACCGGTCACCAAAAGCACACAGTGCCCAAGCTCGATAGCTAAGGGATATCTTATAAAAGTATGATGCTTGTATATCATTAAAATCGAGCGCAATCGTACTTTTAGCCAGAAAATAAATGTCCGGGTAATTCTGGGACACCCTGTATGTTGGGAGGTAAAATATAACCCCCGTTTTTGGACGCCTGGATCCGCCTATTATAGCAAAAACGTGTCAAAAGAGGATGCACATTGCACAATAACTTTGTATATGTTATCACATGATACCTTTCATTCACTGTTCGTATAACTGGTGTATACAGTTATAATACATCAGCATCGTGATCTTCGCCCAAATGACTCGCTTCACGAATAGGACCCCCCACTTCCCAGTGCTCTGGAGCCGCCCCTGGTAAAGGTATGAACTTGAAATTTTCAGGGAATGTGCCCAATTTAGTTTTAGGAAAAGTCAGAAAATTTCAGCATCGTTGCTTCAGCGGTTTCGGAGATATTCCCGAAAAACCTGAGGGGTGGATGAAAACAACCCCCCTGCCACTAATAGGGTTAACCCGCGCCCTGCTGGGGGGGGTGTTTGAACACCCCCCCTGTGGTTTTTCGCGAATATCTCAAAAACGGCGGCGCGGAGCGCCGCCGTTTTTGGTACACCTTATCATACATCAATTCTACACATGTTGTGAAAATTTCAGACCAAGGTCATTCAAGGTCAGGTCACCAGGTCACTCGAAGTGACCTCACCTCATAAAAAGTTTCAATGTCTGTCATAGCTACACCGAGTGACCGATCGCTTTGAAACTTTCAGCGATTGCTAAGAGCATTAGCATGTACAAAATGTATATCTCAGAATTTTGATATCGATGACCTAAGGTCAGGTCAATTTTGCGACCTCACCATTATAAGTCAATGGGAGAAAATTGAAATGCGCCTCTTTTGGACGAAAGACATTATAAACACCCCCAAACACTGAATTACAAGTGGTTTAGACACAATGAACATGAAAATGGTGTCTGTGACCCCTGTTTATGCCCTGAGGTCATCTTAGGTCACGAATGGTATCTAACAGTTTTTCGCAAATAACTTTTGATAGAGGCATGCTAGAACGATGAAAACGCCTTAGATGTGTTCAGCTCGACGATACGGATCGACTGATATGCAACATGACCCTTTCCGGTCAGGTCATGACCTTGACCTGAGGTCAAATTTTCAAGTTGACCTTTCAAGGTCAAATTATAGTTCGTTCGATGCGTCTTGACGAGAGGAACACGATGCCGGTAAAAGTAAGCTCGTACAATGCTTGGGTCAAAAGTTATTGCAGAAAAACTGTTTCCGAAAAAATCGGCTATTTTTGCAGTTTTTGCCCCCTGCAGGCAAAACCGTTGACGTTAGGTCAAATCTGAGAAAATTACTCAGAAAGGGCGTTAATAGGGCTATCGAATGCGCTTTTCCGCGGCGCTGTAGCTCTATTGGTTCCCGAGTTATGCGTTGGCTTCTTGGAAATTTTCGACATTCGACCTGGAAATCGGCGAAAATTTGCCTTCAATGACCTCTGGTGACCTGACCTTTGACCTGACCAAAAAATTGACCGAAGTGATTTCCTCATTATTTTTGACGCTCTTTCGAACGCCGCCTTCCGCGTATCGCTACGTGGCCCAGGAGCCGAGTTAGAAGGGGGGGTGTTCAAACACCCCCCCAGCAGGGCGTGGAAATCCAGGACCCCCAGCAGGGCGCGGGTTAACACGCGCAGTGGAAGGGTTGCGAGTACTACGCCCAGTGGAAGGGGGGGCGGATGTCGCCCCCCCCCCCTAAGATCTCA